GCGTGAGGAGCGCTGTGTAATTACAAGCCGCTGCAGTTGTTATTTCTAATGCAATGTTGAACCATCTCAAAGCCTTTCAAAAGGGAATGCTTTCAAGTGTAGTGACTGTATTTTGTAGGTGAAACACGGCAGCCAATTTGCACACAGCAATAACCTGCAAACAGCCATTAAGTGAGCGACTCGTTATTTTATCCCTGGGGGGAATATTGGCCAGGACACGGAGAGAAATTCCCTTCTCTTTTCCAATCGTGTCCCTCCCCCCCACCCCTTGACCTTGCTTAATGTTTCAGCTGAAGGACAACAGCTCTAACAGTGTAGTGACTTGCTCCTCAGTGAGGTTTCTGTTATATTATGTTGGGATTGTTCTCCTCAAAGCAGAGAAGGTTGAGGGGAGATTTAATAGAGATGTTCAAAATGATGAGGGGTTTTGATAGAGTAGATAGAGCTGAACTGTTTCCTCTGGCAGGTGGGTTGGTAACCAGAGGACACTGATATAAGATGATTGGCACCGTAGAGGGGAGATGAGAATTCTTTTTTTACCCAGAGGGTGATGGAAACAGATTCGATAATAACTTTCAAAAGGGAATTGGATGGGTACTTAAAAAGGAAAAAATTGCAAGGATATGGGGAAAGAGTGGGGGAGAGGGACTGATTGGGTAGCTCTTCCAAAGAGCCGACACAGACACGAATGGCTGAATGGCCTCCTTCTGTGCTGTAAGCTTCTCTCCCTGTTCCCAAGCTGGGAGCCAAATCTGCTCCTATAATAAGCCCAGCGACGGCTATTGTCTCACTGTTTTCTTGCAAAGTGGAATTCTCTGCCTGATGCAGGATATGTCCCTGCCTCTGGAATTTCCTGACATTTTCCGTAGAGAAACACAGAGTCTGACTCATGCCTGTCCTCAGTCTTTCCCCTCTTTTCGTTTTGACTTGTTTTTCCTTCTATTGGGGTCTGTTAGTCTGTGTCTATGTCTATATGTGTGAGACCGTCTGGCTGTGTGTGTGTGTGTGTCTGGCTGGCTGTGAGTGTGTATGACTGTGTGTGAGACTATCTGGCTGTGTGTGTGTGTCTGTCTGGCTGTGTGTGAGTGTTTGACTGTCTGGCTGGTGACTGTGTGGGTGGGTTGAGTGTGAGTATGTGGGTATCTAACTGTGTGTGTGTGTGTGACTGTCTGGCTGTGTGTATGCAGTTGTGTGTGTGTGTGCATGTGTATTTTTATCAAATACAAATTAAAGAAAAGTTCTAGCTGAACGCTATTATGCCCTATATTCCTCCTGTAGCTGTCGCTTGTGTGGCTGCTGTTTGCCACAGAGAAGCTCAGTCCCCCTCAGTAATAGTAACACATTGAGAGTATCAGGCTGTCGTAGTGAGCCTGATCTGATGCCACGGTGAGAGGTTTGCTCCTGATGGGCCGATTTCAGATTTCTTCCTGATTGAGCGAGTGTGTGATGCTGTGTAAAGATGGGGAGACAGTGTACACAGAATGAATGATCAGAATGCTTGTAATTTTTATGTTGTGTTACACATGGGTTTGCTGCCCTGTAACAATCTCCTGCTTCTCTTCCCAGTTGTCCGTCACCAGGGAGATGGGCTGAGGCCAGGCTTAAGCCAGAGAGCTCCCAGCCGGGCCAGGCCAAGAACAAATTATTTTCTTAATATTATGCATTTATAATTAACAGCAGCAGTGGACCCTGCTTATAGAGTGCTTGTGTGTTGACACGTATGTTGTGGTACGGTTACCTCTCCCACGTCATAAGAATTTGCTGGCGAAAGAAGACCAAGGTCCATCAAGTTTGCTTTCCGCCACCTTGGCAGTCACTTGACATGTTGTGTTCCAAACTTTACGCTGTATCCCCAGATATTATTTTCTAGCAGAATCTAATTTGTTCTTGAAACAAACAACATTATCTGCTGACACGGTCTGTCTCCCGAGGGAGCCTGTTCCTCACTACTCGCTCACTGAAGAAGTGTTTCCACAGATTTGTCCTGAATTTACCCTCCCTTCGATCGCAGGCCGTGTCCTCAGGTTCTGTTGTTCAGCACAAGATAAAACAGCTGATCATGGTGTACATTATCTAGTCCCTTCAGAATCTTAAAGACCATAATCATATCGACCCTCAACCTTCTCCAGTGTGAACATGCCCATCTTGCGAGGGCTCAGCCTATTGACCAACCTTCTGGGGAGCGGGGCAGGGGAGGGGACTCTTGGGGTCTGACAGACCCCAAGGTGACAGGCCTGACATTGGAACACCACGGTTCAGCTGATCCTCTATGCCGCTCTCCTCGTAGACTGCTTTGTGAGCCGGGCAGATTGGTGGGATGGCAGACCACTGGAAACAGTGATTCTGCCCACCTGGCTCCTGTGAGCAAAATCCTGATGGAAAAGCGTGATCATAGCTGGACAAGTGGGAAGCTTGTTAAATGGCGCTCCAGTGACAAGTCCTGGGACACTGACATCAGTGGAGCCCTGTAACTTAGTGGTTAACAAGCAAGAGGACCCTGCGGGTGAAACCTTTCGCAAGTTTCCTTACTTCATATGCCTCTGTTAACTGCAGGATGTTAGTCAATTGGCGGATCGCTTTCTGGAAGTAATAATCCCTTTTTTTAAAAAAAATGTGGTCACTCAATCCACAACTGTTAGTGAGACACTGCTGTGCGCAATTGGCCTCAGCTTTTCACCCACAAAAAATACAGTCTATTTCACTTTACAGTACATCCTGTGAAGCGCTTTGAGATGACCCAACAACAGGATAAGACACTACATCAAAAGAAAGGATTATAATTATAACACAATCACCAGATTAAACTCCAGCTGTCACTCCTAGTGCACACTCTTGACGATCACAAGCCTTGGTTCCAGCCAACCTGCGCCTCGTGGGAACATAGTCCCTGTTTGTCTGTAATAGACTGAAGGCATGTGTGGAACTCTGTCTGGTTTGGAGACTCTTACTCCTGGTGATGGGTTTCTGTGTCTGTGTCAGACACCCGGCTGACCCAAAAGATTTGAACCCTGTGACTTTTGCCTGAAAGTCACCAACTGCCCCCTCTCTGCCCTGATGGCTGGTTAGTAAGCGGATATTTAAAGGGGGTTTTAAATACACACTTAACGACCTCCATCAGCCACAGTCCCAGGGGACGCCTTGGGAATGCTTGTTGTGTTGTCTGATCCCCTGTGAGGCGGGAGAACAATGTGTGCTGCTGGCTCTGGAACACACACTCGCAGGATACACTCAGAGCCACGGCAGGGAAATATCTTGTCATAATATTTCTGAGAGGCCTGAAGACTGCAGTTTCCTCTGTGTCAGAGCCAGGACCTTCCCAGTGCTCACACAGCCCCAGGGATTAAGAGGAACTCGTTCCAACACCCCTCAAGTGTAGTCCTGTGGCTCAGTGGTTAGCGCGCTCATCTCGCAAATGGAGGTAGCTGAGTTTGATTCCTGGGTGGGGCGAAACCTTAGGCAAGTTTCCTCACTCCACACGCCTCTGTTTACCGAGCAGTAAGTACGAACCCGGTTGTTAGTCATTTGACGGATCGCTTTTTAGGGGTTTAATACTCCCTCTCAATCCATGACTGTTTGTGGGACACTGCCATGCGCAAGCTTTCGTATTTCGCCCACAAATATACAGTTAATTCACTTTACATTATATTTGATGAAGCGCTTTGAGACGTCTTGACGTATATCAAATGCGAGGATTATTATTATTATCAACGGTGACTGTCCCAGGGGAGACCTTAAGCCCAGTGCCCAAACTCATTCATGCGAGGCGAGTGCACTAACCACTATGTTGCAGGACTCCACTCCCTGGGCTACGGAGATGCAAATCAGGCGATAACAGGACACATTGCAGTCACTTGTGCTGACTGTGTGCATCTCTCGGGTGAGGCAGGATCGGGGCTGATGGTAAACGCTCGCTGTATAGGCTAACGTAGGAGAACAGCAGCTTATGACCCCTGCCTGTGAGGGGCAATGTGACACCCCCAACCCCTCGCTATCTACCCTGTGTGTTAGCTCCCAACTGACTGTACTCTATGTTTACTGTAAATGCACGGTGGCTACACACACCAAACACTTTTGAGTTGTGGACTATTTGAGTTTTACTGCTCTCTCTCTCTTGTGACCACTTTACTGTCGCTCATGCTCGGTCGGGCTGTGTTGTCTTTCAGGAGGAGCGGCCCCCCAGCCAGGCCCTGCACATGGCCTGAGCCCAGGCTCCCCGAGGCACAGCCTGAGGCGGGGATGATGCGCATCTCCTCGGGGTCTCTCAGCCTCTCGTGCCAATCTGGCTACGACTCCAGGTGAGGCTCACAGTCAGGGTGGCTGCCATTTATGTTCCTCGTCTGCAGAAAGGTCAGGGTGGGCGTGGGGGCAGGAGTGAGGTCCCCCAGGGGCCAGGATGGGGGGAGGGGTTGCAAGTGTAGTGACTGTTTGTTTTGTAGGTGGGCGATTTGTGCTGGGCATGGTCCTCTCGACACTGGTGGAGTGAGCAAGTGATATTATCAGGGGGATTTGTTGGCCAGGACACTGGGGAGAGAGAAACTTCCTTCTTTCTTCAAATAGTCCATCTGAACAGGGAGGCAGTGGGTGGGGGTGGGGTCTGGGGAGAGGGGAATGACCATGATACCCAGAATCAGTCAGCCAATCCCCTCAATGTAGTGGCAAATACCGTCACTACACTTATCAAAATTATGAGGGGTTTTGATAGAGTAAATAGGGAGAAACTGTTTCCTCTGGCGGGTGGGTTGGTAACCAGAGAACATAGATCTAAGATAATTGGCAAAAGAACCAGCGAGGAGACGAGGAGAAATGTTTTTACATGGGGAGTTGTACGGTCCGGAATCCTCGGCCTGAAAGAGGGGGAGTGATTGGGCAGCTTTTCCAAAGAGCCGGCACAGGCACGATGATTCCCTGGGAGGGGCTCTGATATGAGCTGGTATGTCCTGGCCACTGGGCACCAATCATGGGGGTTGATGGTGATCCTGATCCTGTGACATTCCTCAGTCATGGCTGTGATCTCCGCCCTCTTGTGTTGCAGTGACTTCCCGATGCAATGGGACCAGCTCGCTCTTCACCGTAACTCTGACCAGAGGAGCTCGCTGGGCAGCATGGACAGCTTGGACCAGCCCAGCCCCAGTGACCCCAGCACCTTCCCCAGCAAGAGAGACTCCGCCTACAGCTCCTTCTCCGCCAGCTCCAACACCTCCGACTACACCTTGTCCTCCTCGGTGAAGACTGACGAGTCAACCTCCATGGACAGCATGTTGCTGGGGCTGGGCAGGCTGGGGGATGTCCTGCCCCCGGGCGGAGGGGAGGGGGAGGGGCGGGTATGTTGGCATTGTGGGAAGGGCCCGCCCCATAGTGAGGGGGGCGTGACCAGGCCTGGCAGAGCCGCGCCCCCTCCCCCCGCGCGGCGGGAGAGCTTTGTGATGACAAAAGTTCGCTCGGCCTCGCTGTGCGTCACGCGCTCCCATGCTCTCGCCCTCTCGCTCCGGCCGGGCAAGTGGAGCTCGGAGACGCTGCTGAGCGGCAGGGAATACGAGGAGGAATGTTACCCCTGTGTGAGGGCCACTCGCCCCGCCCTGCCCCCCGCAGCGCCTCACCGGCACAGCGCCGAGAGTGTTTACCCAGGGACCCCCAGCCCCGCCCTGCACCCCACGGCCTCCAGCCCTCCCGAGACACCACTCCCCCAGCTCTGCTTGCAAGGCGCTGGGCCTGAGGTGGCCAATCACAAGCTGAGCCTCACCTCCGGCATTCCCAGGCATGGCCATGGGAAGGGATTCTCCGGGCACCGGCACAGTGCTCCCGACCAGCTGCTCTCACCTTCACTCCCCACCCCCAGCTCCGCCCAGTGGGACCAGCGTGTCTCGTGCCAGCCGGGCACGGGTGAGGCCGAGGAGCCGCGCAGGGAAGATGCCTCGCGGTGTGGAGCGGTGCCAGCGGGCAAGCACCGAGGGTTCGAAGAGATTGAAGAGGAATCGGCCGCTGGTTTTGGCGGTCGTTCTTCCCTGGACTGCGGTGACCAGCAACGGCCCCCGGGGGGCAGTGACGGGGGCGGGGGGCCGGGGGAAGACGCTGATTGCGCAGAGCAGAAGCGGGGAGCCGGCAGGAGTGGGCGGGTGGCAGCCTCGCGGGCTGCTCGCCGACGCCGCAAGAGCGACCGCTTTGCCACCAGCCTGCGGCACGAGATCCAACTGAAGAAATCTCAGCTCCAGAGGAGCCGCGAGCGGGGGGAAGGTGAGGAAGAGGAGGAGGAGGGGGGGGACGCCGGCGATAAGCCCCCGCGGGACCTGAGCCCCGAGGGCAACACAGCATTGACTCGGGCTCCGAATCCCGAAAGCATGGCTCCTCCGCCAGAGGAACGTCACCTCCCGGCGGTTGAAGATCTCCCCCCAAGGGGTCTGGCCGAACAGAGGACCTCTCCGCGGCCCCCCTCCCCCACCTGCAGGGCACGGACCTCCCCCAGGGTCTGGTGCAGTTGGACGTTGCCGCTCGATCCTCGTGCTGGGAGGCCGAACGAGACCCCCATCCCTGAGAGAGAACAGTCGCGCTCGGAGACAGCGAGCCAGGACACAGACACCCCCCTCATGTCCTTTGCCGAGAGACGCAAGTTCTTCGAGGAGACCAGCAAGATCCTGACCGCCTCTGAGCTGTCCGGTGCGGGGGTCTTCCCGAGGAGGTCGAGCAGCGTGGGGGGTAGATGCCATTGGCCCCCCGGTATCGAGGCCCCGGGAGTAGGCGGACAGGAAGCCGAGCGGGGGGAGCGCAGGAACCAGGAGCTCCTCAGCCCTATGAGAACCTGTACATTACCAGAGTCTCGGCCCCAGCCCCATGAGCAGCCCCTCCCTCGCCCTCACACTCGCCCTCGCTCACACTCACACAACACCTACCTGGAAGAACCTCCATCCATCACCAGGCGGCCCGTCCAACTACAGCCCTCGACACATGAGGTAGGAAACACTTCTCACCATCTTCCCTCATAGCTGTGACAGCCTTCCCTCTTGCTCTCCCTCTCTCCCTCCCTCCCTCCCTCCCTATCCCCCTCCATCCTTCCCTCCCTCGCTTCCCCTCCATCCTTCCCCTCCTCTCCCTCCCTCTATCTGTTCCTCCCTCCCTCCCTTCCTCCTTCCCCACTTGCTCTGCTTCCTCCTCTGCCTGACCTGTTGTAGTGTGTGAGCAGGGCTGTCTGAGTACCACTTGTGTTTGATAGAGCGCCTTATCACACTGTCATTGACATGACTCAAAGTGCTTCACAGAATACACTGTAAAGTGGATTGTAATATGATCTTGTGTAAAAATATCCCTGTAGCTCCCTCCTGGCCAGACCAGGGGGATGGGGTGGGGGCGGCGGTGGAGAGGCTGTTTGCCTGAATTCCCATTGTGTTAAACACTGAGTAACTTCCTCCCATTGCTCCTGCTCACAGACACGCAGCTCAGCTCCAGTGTTGCTCATGCTTCTATTTTTGGTTAGAAGCAAGGAGGCTGTGCACACACAACACGATAGACAACCCTCAGCTCTCAGCCGTTCAAACTCACAGGGAGAGAGGGAAGGAGAAAGAAAGAAGGGGGAGGAGTGTCAGAGTGTGGATTGTGGTACCAGCAAGACATTAGAACAAGAGGCATAGTTTAAGCACTCCCTACCTGGGTTCCATTCCGGGGACGGCGAAACCTTGGGCAAGTTTTCTTACTCCACCCGCCTGATAAGAATCCCTCAAGAAAATAAGTAAATATAAAATAATAATTTGGTCACTCAATCCAAGACTGCTTGTGGGACGCTGCTGTGGGCAATTGGCTGCTGCGTTTCGCCCACAAAATATACAGTCAATTCAATTTACAGTCTATTCTGTGAAGCGTTTTGAGACGGCGAGAAGACGTGAAAAGCACTATATCAAATGCAAGGATTATTATTATTTTATTTATCTCTGGGATTTCCATGTGTAGGTAGGAGGCATGGAATTCTCTGTTTGGTTTGGATATTCTTAAGCAGATGATGGTTTTCTACACGTGTCAGACACTCAGCTGACCTCCCCACCAAAAACAATTAGGTCCTCCGAGACACTACCCCATGTGAAAGGTGCTGTGTAAATACAAGTTGTTGTTTAGAGTTGTAGAGTGGCTCAGTTGGTAACACTCTCGTTTTCAAGTCAGATATGGTTGGTTCAAGGCCCACATCAGGACTTGGAAACCAAATAGGGAGGCATCATTCTTCAGATGAGATGTTAAACTAAGGTCCCATCGACCTCTTCAGATGGATGTTAAAGATCCCACGGCACTATTCGTAAAGAGAAGGAAGTTTCTCTCTCCCAGTGTCCTGGCCAACAATCCCCCAAATAAAATTGGTCGTTCACTCCATGGCTTTGCTAATCATTGCTGTCTACAAATTGGCTACTGTGTTTACCCACAGTAAAATACTGCAGTATATGATGTGATATCACAGTATACCCTGTGAAGCACTTTGAGACATCTCAATGACATAAGACACATCAAATGCAAATATTTTTATGATAAAGGACAATTACAGGACATTCAAGGCAATCAGTCACTGAATCAGGTTGCCAGGAAGGCCTTCATCAAACAACCGATTTTATGATCTGTAACTGGAGCTGTCTACCCCTTTATGGAGCTCTCTACTCTAATCCCTGCTCTCCCCATTGTGTCTGGGCTGGTACTCACTCCCCCACTGGAGCCAGTGGAGCCTGGCCAGCACTGTTGTGATGGGGGTACGAAGTTTAGTGCTTGCTCTCACTGCCAGCTTGCTCAGACTGCTCGCTCTCACTCTCTCCTTCCCTCCCTCCCACAGGGATTCCCGGTGGAAAAATGGGATCAGATGGAAATAACCAGGACAGTTACTGCAGGAGAAAGGTAAGACGAGAGGACGGTGTCACACAGGCGACACACACTAGCCCGACTCCTCCCTTACTGTTGAGGGCAGAGCAATGGGACAAACCAGATGAATACAGCAGGCAATGCACGAGAAAAACACAACTAGGACAGTAACCTCTACATTTCAAACAGTGTTTTTCACATTGCAAGGACATCTCAAGATGCTGCACAGTATTCCCTGTAAAGCAGCAGCCAGTTTGTGTCCAGAATTACAACCATGGATTGAGGGCCAATTTTATTTGGGCGATTGTTGGCCAGGGCACTGGGAGAGAGAGCCTCCCTTCTCTTTTCAAATAGTGCCACCTTTAATGTCAACAGGAGGACAGGAGCTTGGCTTAATGTCTGATCAGATCCCGGTGTCCCTGGCCAGTAATCCTCAAGTTAAAATTGACTCCTTGGCTGTTTGCGGGATGTTGCTATGCACAAAATGGAGGATGACCCAAGGCGCTGGACAGTGCAGGGTTTGCACCTGAGCTGGGATAAGACTCGAGAGAGATGGAGGGTTGGGGGTGGATGGCTGGGAGGGTGGGCGCTAGGAGGGTGGCTTACGGAATGATCAAAGAGGAAGGTCTTGAGATGGCCCTTGAAGAAAGTGAGGGAGGGAGCGAGGCGGGGGTGCTGGGTGGATTATGAAAACTCTGCTTTGTGTGTTTCAGAGGGACGGTGTCACTGAGCTACATGGAGGAACGCTGTCCGTGGGCACGGCCAGGTGTCAGGGAGCGAGGACGGAGGCCTGGCGAGGGTGTGGGGGCCTGGGACAGGCCGATTGGAGCTGCTGGACCCCCAGTGACCAGCAGTGAGCTTCCAGCATCCCAGCGGAGCGCGGAGTCCCCCTGTGTGTGCCTTGGCTATCCCAGCCAGCGCCAGGCCCAGGACAGGGTGGTCCCACACAGCGAGGGGGTCCCACACAGCGAGGGGGTCCCACACAGCGAGGGGGTCCCACACAGCGAGGGGGTCCCACACAGCGAGGGGGCTGGGAAGAGACCAGAATGTCCATCAGGCAGCAGCAGGAAGAAGGGTCCGCCACCCCAGAGACCCCCACCACCCGACTGGGGCAAGTACTGTGCCCGGCGAGCCTCTCACCATGAGCTGGGGGGCTTGGAGAGGCCGCAGACGCGCAAGCTCTCCCACCACGAGTTCCAGGACCTGGATAAGTTCTGGCCGCGGAGAGGGTCCGGGTGTGAAGCAGAGCCCGCTGTCAGCCGGGGTCAATCAGAGCAGCCGTTTGCCCGAGAGAGACATCTGTACCGTGACCTCCCACCGGCCCCCTCGCCCCGGCCCATCGCTATGGAGCTGCGCCGCCAGCCCCTCAATTCTCCTGAGCCAAGCTCCGCAGAATCCCCCGACACCGGGTACAGGCACCATCTGCAGAGATCAGGGGGCGTTCAGCCGGTGTCGCTGGGCAGCGAGTATCTGCTCAGGTGAGTGTGTGGGTTAGCCACGAGTCAAATGGTACCAGGGATGAGGGACTTTAGTTATGTGGAGAGACTAGAGAGGCTGGGATTTCTCTCCTTACAGCAGAGAAGGTTAACGGGAGATTTAATAGAGATGTTCAAAATTATGAGGGGTTTTGATAGAGTGAATAGGGAGAAACTGTTTCCTCTGGTGGGTGGGTTGGTAACCAGAGGACACAGATTTAAGACAATTGGCTAAAGAACCAGAGGGGAGACGAGGAGAAATGTTGTTACGGTCTGGAATGCATGGTCTGAAAGGCTGGTGGAAGAAAAGTCAACAACAACTTTCAAAAGGGAATTAAAGAGGTATTTGAAAAGGAAAAATTTGCAAGGATATGGGGAAAGAGCAGAGGAGTGGGACTGATATGGTAACTCTTCCAAAGAGTCGACACAGGCATGATGGGCCAAATGGCCTCCTTCTGTGCTGTGATATTCCTATTCTGTGAGAGTCCCTATCAGACTGCAGGCTTCCTTTCCATCACTCCTCAGTAATGAAAGGTCAGTTGTTGCCTCTTCCAAAGGGAAGACTGATCTCTGGTTCCTGCTCCTCGTGTCCTGGATCTTCGTCAACCTGTTGAGCCTCTTACCCTGCGGCCGAGTTGGCTGCTCTTCAGACTGGTCTTGGTTCCTCTCGAGTCTTGGTCTCTGGACTTGTGCTTTGCTGCCTCTCCTACTCGGGCCGTTGCTTCTTCCCAGAGTTTGACCCATGTTTGTCCTGTTTCTATGACTTTTCTCTTCCCATTGGGAGAGTGTGTGACCCAATCCCAGTCTAAGGTGGGTGACAAGCCCCAGTCATCAGTCTGCACCTTCAGGGAAACTGTGTGTAAAAGAACGAGTGAGAGGGAAGCGGTGGGGCGGGGTTGGGGGAGAGAAAAAAAATACAAACAGCCAGTGATGGAAAAGAAGCCCAGCTCTGATCAACAACAACAAATTACATTTACATGTCAGGAGGACGTCCCAAGGTGCTGGGCCATCAGGATTTGGACCCGAGCTGGGGGTTGGGATCAGTGAAGTTGGGGGTAGGAGAAGGGTGGCCGAATGAAGAGGAGGGTCTTGAGACATGCTTTGAGGGAGGAAAGGGAGGGTGCAAGGCGAAGGGACTGTGGGGTGGAGTTCCAAAGTGTGGGGGCGGAGAAGGTGAAAGTCTGACTGCCAAAGGTGGGGTGGATTATTATTCTTAATTCAGACTCACGCACCATCTCCTCATCAATTTCAGTCTTCATCGATTCTCCCTCTCCTACATCCCACAGGCATTCTGTGAAGCACTTTGAGACATCTCAACGAAGTGATAAAGTGCTATTTTAAATGTTCATTATTAGCCAACCAGGGTGTGTGCTACTCTGTACTGACCAGCTGGTTCATGTGCAGCTCTGTGTGTGACGGCCCTTAACTTCTCAGACAATACATATTATATATTATACACATATATATAAATAAATATATAAATGAATGAATGAATAATCCATCCATTTAATATAGCACCTCATCATTTCTTCGAGATGTCTCAAAGCGCTTCACAGAATATAATGTAAAGTGAATTGACTGTATATTTTGTGAGTGAAACTCAGCAGCCAATTGCACATAGCAGAGAGCGAGGCGACTGTTGTCTTTGTGAACTGACTGTTGAGCTAGCGTTGCGGATGTGTTGGACAGGTTTCTGTGGGTTTAGTGGTTGTCTGTGGCTGGCTGGCTGCTCAGTTGATGGAGGTGGTTGGAGTCCGTGTCACTGTCCAGTAACCCTGAGGTTTGCCTCCTCAGAAGTCGAGCCGAGGTGGAGGGAGACGGGGACGGAAGAGGCGGTCAGACCTGGCCTTTCCAAACAGACCACATGCCCCGCGCAGCGTCCATTGGTCTGGGGAGGAGTGAGCCGGAGTCAGAGCCGGCCTGGGACAGGAGCACACAGTCCTACTTCACCATCGGGAGCAGAGCGGACAACAAATGGAAGGAATCCGAGATCTACGTCAGATCCGCTCCGGTCCCTGGGAGGATGGGGGTGGGAAGCCCTCCGGGGGAGGTTGGCGAGGGGCTGGAAACAGTGAGGGGCCAGGGTCTGGCTGGCCTCGGCTCGGGGGAGCTGGAGGAAGAGGCGGAGGAGAAGGAGCGCTTGCTGGCTGACTCCCTGGATCCCGGCGCCCGGGTGACCAGCCCTGGAGATCTGATGAGCAGGGGCTTCCTGGGAAGCACAGAGGAGCTGGGACGGGAGAGCAGGAAGCAGAGCCTCCCAGAGATCAGAGGTAGCGGAGTCCAGAGGTGAGTGTTTCCTGAGATCCCCCCAACACCATCTATCTCACTCCACCCCCGGCATCTGTCCTGTGTCTGGAATGGACTGTGCTCTCTCTCTCCCTGGAGGGATGCATCCTGCTTACCTAATTATGGAGAGTATTAGATGCACGTTGGCAAGAGCTAAGGCTTGGGGGACCCCAAAGTGTGCTTTGGAGCAACTGCTGGAGTTTAACCAGCTCAAACCACATAGCTTGCCATTGATATTGCTGTATGGCAAGCCTTTCCACTGCTTGTCCAGCTAGGCCCACCCTAACTGTTAAGGTTTTGGCCTGAAGGGTTAACAGAAACTGAGTGAGCGGATTCCCTGCCCCCAGTGACTGGTCTGCCCTTCCAGGTCCTGCCGATGAGCCAGGCTGGGCTGTGCTGTCATCAGCAGTGCCGTGGAATACTGTGAACCCGCCTGGCACAGGAAACGATTAATTATGATATCAATTATGGCATGACGTTGCCAAGCATTCCTTGGAGCCAGTTAAGGGCCAAGGACCCAACGCTACCTCCAGATTTTTAACAGAAACTGAGTGGGCGGATTCCTGCAGTGTATCCAGCTCTAAATCTCTACAAATCCCTCCCGCCTACATGAGATGGCTCTTCCCTTGTGTACAGATAGGGACAGTGAGGGAGCAATACTCTGTATTTAACTCAAATTCAGTCCTGAATTTACCCATTGCACTAGGGTTCAATCTGGGACCATGTGAGACATAAACAGCAACATCACCACCTGCTGACAGAGAAACAAACTGCAAAGAGCACAAACAGAGCCACAAATGTTATTTTGCTCAACCGAGTGTCTGACACACACGGAAACCCATCATCTGCTTAAGAGTCCCCAAACCAGACTGATAATTCCATGTCTTCCACCCAATCATGGACATTCCAGAGATAGTGGAGTCCTGTAGCTCAGTGTGGAGTCCTGTAGCTCAGTGGTTAGAGCACTCGCTTTGCAAGCGAGAGACCTGAGTTCAATTCCCGGCAGAGGGCGAAACCGTGGGCAAGTTTCCTTACTCCACACAGAGCCTAATAATAATCCCTCCAAAACCCAAAACAATAATAAAAATTGGTCATTTTCAATCTACAACTGTTTGTGGGACATTGCTGTGCGCAATTGGCTGCCGCGTTTGCCCACAAATATACAGTCAATTCACTTTACAGTGTGCTCTGTGAAGCGCTTTGGGACGTCCTCCTGACGTGAAAAGCGCTATATCAAATGCAAGGATTATTATTATAGTCTGCTGTGAATGGAGTGCGCCCTCTCGCTCATGCACTTACACATGGTAGAGCTTCCCTCTTGTCTGCCAACCTGAACCTAATACTTTCCGGAATTAGGTAAGCAGGGAGAGAGGCATCCCAGGATTCAGCAGCCTGGATTGCCTCGGAGCCTCTGCTTGGTGATCCCAGCCCTACACCAGCACCAGGTAGACTAGGAGTAATTTAGGATTTTGTTCAACACTGGGTAATGGAGAAAGAGAGAGAGAGAGTGCAACATTCTCACAGACTGTCCTCCCCCCACCCCCATCCCCATAAACCGAGGAATCGTGTCCAGTCAGTGCCAAAGGGGGCAGTGGCTTTGGGGGCAGGTGAGTGGGCAAGCAGACAGGAGTGCTTGTTATTAAAGATCATGTCAGCCTGGCTCAGTGGGTAGCGCTCTCTCATTGGAGTCAAATGAGTGTGGGTTCAAGCTCCAGGTTGGAGTTTGGAACTCTTATTGTCTAAGATGACACTCACTCCAGAGCAGTACTGGGGGAGCGTTGCATTGCTGGAGGTAATGCTCTTCGTAGGAGACATTATATTCTTATTATTATGAACCGAGGTCGGGTCTGCCTGTCTGGGTCGATGGCGCTATTTGAAAAGTGAAGAGAATTTTTCTCCCAAATGTCTTCCAGATAAAATAGCTCATTCACTTTTATGACTGTTTGTGGGACATTCTTCTGAGAACATTGGCTGCCATATTCTCCCACAAAACACAGTCACTGCACTTTACAGTATATCCTGTGAAGCTCTTTGGGAAGTCCTCCCACTGTGAAAGGCGCAATTATAGGAGAAATGTAGGATCTTTAGAAACCACCTGAACAGGTAGACAGGGCCTTGGTTTAACGTCTCAGACACATCAGTGTCTTTGATAATTGCAGCGCTCCCCCAGCACTGCACTGGCAGCCTGGGCTGTGAGCTCAAAGGGCAGCTGCCTGTTGGGGAAGTGGGTGAAGGGGAGATGTTGCTCATTTTCCAGACCCTATTTGCATTGGACGTTACTATCCCATCGGGCTGTGTCTTTGTGTGTGTGTGTGTGTGTAGCTGCAGTGCTGACCTGTGTGTTTGTGGCTGCAGTGTTGACCTGTGTGTGTGGTTTACAGGTGGTCAGGCCCCAGCAGCCCACCGACTGCTGCCATCAGCCCCACCTCGAGCTCCAGCTACTACAGCACGTCAGCGGCCAAGGCAGAGCTGCTGAACAAGATGAAGGACCTCAGCCTCGCCTCCGCCCAGCAGGAAGAGAGAGAGCTTGAGGAAGAGGAAGATGAACTGAACGAAAAAAAGGTACAGGAGTCACAACTCTACCCCTATAAACCTCCAAACCTGGTCTGCTGACCTGGTGAAACGCTCCAAGACGCTACCCCTTGTCAAGCGGGCTATATATGTGCAAGTTGGTGTTTTTGCTCTTCCAATTCCAGTCTGTCGCTCGCTCTCCACTCTTCTCCAAGATAGGTAGCCGAACCTTCGACCACTTTGTCTCTTATCCTCCTGTGGTCTCTCTCTCTCTCCCTCCATTGTGCCTCTCTCTCTCTCTCTCTCTCTCGTGCCTCTCAGATCAACCTCTTTGACTCTCTCTCCTTTCTGATCCTCTTTCTCAAGCAGTTCAGAACCTTCTGTTGTGACTAGTTAATGTTTTCTCAACATTGGTCTTGCTGAAGAAGGCTCTTCAACCCATGCAATTCCTTCCCTCCAGATTACCCCCAATACCCTCCCGCACATAATATCATCAAGCTGTTATATAAATGAGTTCCAGTGTCCTGGCCTCAGCCACCCTTCCTGATAACCTGTTCCAGTCATTAATTACCCTCTGGGTTAAGAAAACCTGCCTGATGTCTGTCCTGAAATTGTCCCTTTACACCTCTAAACCTGGGTCCTCTTGTTCTACTGGACTTGACACATCCTAAAGCATTGATCTGGAGTTAATTTTTTCAATCCCATTTAAAATGTTATACACCAATGAGATCATCTATTATGAATTTGATTTTTTGGGATCTCCTCCCGATGTGAAAGGCGGGATACAAGTGTATTTTTGTTGTTGTTGTAATGGTGTTGATTTAAGTTTGGGATCCGGGCTGACCTGATGAGGCCTGTCGTCATGTGAGAATTCTCTCTGAGCACATTTTCTCCAGGATACAAATCAAGTGGAGACTGATTACCATTAATTCGTTCCTCTCACTCAGTGTCTGAGAGGAATATGGCAGCCATTTGCACACAGCATCATCCCCGCCAAACAGCCATGAAGTAAATGATACAATTGACCTGGTTGATTGTTGGTCAGGCACCGAGAGAGAGAGAAACTTCCTTCTCTTTCCAAACAGTGCCATGGGAGCTTTAACGTCCACATAAACAGGCAGACAGGACCTCGATTTTGTCAAAGGACAGCACCTCTGACAATGCAGCATTCCCCAAGACTATAGCACCCACCAACACTATGAGTTCCCGGTCCCGACGTGGGGCCTGAACCCACAACCTTCTGACTCAGAGGTGAACCTGCTACCCACTGAGCCAGCTGACACCTGGAGTCCATATGGCACCAAATAGCAAATGTTGCTTTCCCTGTGATCAATGATGCGACATCTGACGTGATCCACAGTTGTCAATGTTTATAAGAGAAAATACCTTTCACAATATGATGTGTATGTTTTTCCCCCCAAAGTATAATTTTGATAAGGAGTTAGACCAGCCGTGGTTTTCGTTTGATCAACTGGTTTCTGTCTAGGTGAAAGCTGAGCCCCGGTTAGACCATTGGTGGCCTTGTCTTGTATGCATTCCAAATGTCCCCAACATAATTCTACAATTAGAGATAATTACAAGAACAAGATTACATTTGTATAGTGTCTTTCACATCGGGAGGACGTAGTTGTCAAAGGGCTGATATTCTTTGAGGTTTCTTCCCTTTTGCGTCGCGTCCCAGCTCCGCTCCTTTCTCTCTCGCCATTCTCTCTTTGAACCCCTCCAATCCGGCTTCCGCGCTGCCCACAGCATGGAAACAGCCCTGGTCACAGTCACTAATGACATTCTGAACATCTGTGATCAGAGCTCCCTCTGCCTCCTTGTCCTCCTCGACCTCTCTGCTGCCTTCGACACTGTTGACCACTCCATCCTCATACACCGCCTCTCCGCTTTACTCAATCTTCACGGAGACGCCCTTGCCTGCTTCGATTCCTATCTCTCTCACCGTCTCCACTTGGTTGCCTCTAACGGTTTCTCCTCCAGCCCCCGCACTGTCACGTCTGGTGTCTCCCAGGGCTCTGTCCTTGGCCCTCTCCTCTTTAATATCTACATGCTCCCCCTTGGTAAAATCATCCGCAGACATGGGGTCAACTTCCACATATATGCGGATCACACCCAATGACAATCTTTATCTTTCTGCCTCCACCCTCAACTCCTGGACCGCTGCTGTCCTGACAGACTGTCTGTCGGACATCAAGTCCTGGATGAGGGCAAATTACAGTTGAATGTGAACAAGACTGAGGCCCTCCTGATTGGCTCGCGCCAGCGCCTCAGCATCTCAGACATCAACCTCCATGGTTGCACACTTCAACTCACCAGTCAGTCAGGAACCTTGGTGTCTTCTTCGACCCTCAACTTTCTTTTCTCCCCCACATTCAAGCCTTCCCTCACCTCCGTAACATCGCCCAACTCCGCAACCACCTCACCCCTCAGGCCACTGAAACTCTTGCTCATGCTTTCATTACCTCCAGGCTCGACTATGCAAATGCCCCGCTTGTCGGCCTTCCCAACTCCTCCTTCCACTGCAGATAATCCAGACCTCTGCAGCCCGTGTCCTCTCCCGCACCAAACTCCATAACCCTATATCCCCCACTCTCGCCCGACTCCATTGGCTTCCTATCCTTCAGAGGATCTAGTTCAAGATCCTGGTCCTCACATAAAAGCCCTCCATGGCCTCACCCCACCCTACCTCAGCGACCTCTTAACGCCCTAACAACTCGCCGGTTCCCTCTGCTCAGCCGGCTCTGGCCTGCTCCACGTCCCCCAACCCACCCGCCCCACCATTGGCGGGAGAGCCTTCAGCCACTCTGCTCTCAACCTCTGGAATTCCATTCCCCAGTCACTCTGCCTCGCCCCCTCCTTAGCCTCCTTCAAGTCCCACCTCAAGAACCTCCTCTTCGACCATGCCATCGGCCACCCCACTTCTCCCCTCCCCTCCCTTTTCCCCCCTGACCCCAGCTCGGGTCTGAAGTGCTGTACACTGTCCAGCGTCTTGGGATGTCCTGCTGACGTGAAAGGCGTTATACAAATGTAATCTTGTTGTTTTGTTGCCATCAATCGAATCTCCAAAAGGGACTGTTCGGTCTCACTCCCTACTCCGCTCAGCGGGCTCCCGACTTGAAAGGCACTGTGTAAATGTAATTTGTTTTTGTTCTTGTTAACACTACTCTATCTTTAGATTATTCTCCTTGGAACAGAAAAGGTTAAGAGGAGACTTAATAGAAGTTTTCAAAATTATGAGAGGATTCGATAGGGTGAACAAGGAGAAACAATTTTCGCGGGCAGGTCGGTAACCCGAGGACACCGATTTCAAATAGTTGTTAAAAGAAATAGAGGGGAAGTAAGGAGAAATCTTTTCACACAGCGAGTTGTTCGGATCTGGAATGCATTGCCTGAAAAGCTGGTGGAAGCCGATTTGATAATAACTTTTAAAAAAAAAGTAGATAATTATTTGGGGAGGACAAGTTTGTAGAGTATGGGGTGAGAGTGGGGGAGTGGGGTTGATTTGGAAGCTCTTGTCAAAGAACCGGCACAGACACGATGGGCCGAATGGCCTCCTTCTGTGCTGTGTAATTCTATGATCTCCACTGCCGTGTCATGCTAGACCTGGCCGTAAGGTAGCGATAGAGCAGCCCTTCTCAAATTCTGTCTGGCTGGGTCTCCACCAGGGCGCAGTGTTCTGAGCAGTAACTTCCCTACACAGTGCATTCAGTATATGACTGAGTCTGTGTATTGTACAGTACAGAAGCTAATGCTGTTTTGTTTGTTGCTGGAATTGAGATTTCCAATGTTGGACGCCAACTGATCTACACTTTTCTCCCTATTCACAGCACTGGCTCATCAATGACGCTGTCATGAGTAACGGTTAGTCATTAGTTGGGAGTCACTTAGCATAGTGGTAACAAACAATGTAGTGGTAATGTAGTGGCTGTTTCACATTATGCAGTGAAGTGACTGGAGATCTGTAGCTCAGTGGTTAGAGCTCTCACCTCACAAGTGAGAGACCTGGGTTTGATTCCCGGGCAGGGCAAAACATTGGGCAAGTTTCCTTACTCTACACGTAAGTAAGTAAGTAAGTAAGTAAGTAAGTAGGAACCCGGTTGTTAGTCGGTTGGCAGATCACTCTCTGGTGGTAACGGTTGGTGGTTAGCGAGTGGTTTGGGATAATAATGATAATAATAATCCATACCTTTGATATAGCGAATTATCAAGTTTTAGGGACGTCTCAAAGCACTTCACAGAATATATACTGTAAAGTGAATTGACTGTATTTTGTTGGCGAAACGCAGTAGCCAATTGTGCCCAGCAGCGTCCCACAAAGAGTCATGGATTGAGTGACCAAATTATTATTTTTTTGGAGGGATTATTATCCCTGGAAAGCGATCCGCCAATCGACTAACAACTGGGTTCCTACTTACTCCTGGGTAAACAGAGGCATGTGGAGTAAAGAAACTTGCCCAACGTTTCGCCCTGCCCGGGAATCGAACCCAGATCCTCTTGCTTGCGAGGCGAGAGCTCTAACCACTGAGCTACATAACTCCATATTCCCTGACACCAGATTACACAGTTTTCCATGTAAGAGTGTGTCACTGTGCGGGATTCTACTCTATAAACACATTCAAACTCCCAGGTTTCACATTGTGTGAATAGCCATCTTTGGATACAATTGGCGACCATTATTAGTAACACTGGATACTGGTGACCCGAGGAAGCCCCGAATGAAACCCTGTGTCCTGCCAACCTTCCCTGATAGTAAAGCCACCAGCACACAGGCCACGGGGCTCAATCACAACACAGGCCACGGGGCTCAATCACAACACAGGCCACGAAGCTCAATCACAACACAGGCTGAGTCACTGATCATAGCCAGGCAGCGGGCAGACAAATGGCTTCAGTGGTGTTGGGTAGGGGAGGAGGATAGCAGCAAAGCTTCCTGCTCCTGATTGCTCTGAGGACCTCCTGCTTGCTGCTAACCTGGTCACTTGAACCTCTGATTTGTGTGTGTGTTTGCATGGATATCAAGTCAACCCTTTGTGACGGTCTCGTGTCCAGTTCCTGAGCCAGTGGTTCCGCAGTATTCCAGGGCACTGCTGATCACAGCACTGCCCAGACTGGCTCATCGGCAAGACTTGGAAGGGCAGAGCAGTCACTGGAGGCAGGGAGTCATCCCACTCAGCTCCTGTTAACCCTGCAGCCAAAGCCCTAATGGGCAGGGTGATCCTAGCTGGACAAGCAGCAGGAAAACTTGTCAGACAGTTCCCAGCTAACGTTTCTCTCTCTCTCTTTCTCTCGCTCTACCCACTTTGCCCAGCGACAGCTGATTGACAGCATCACCCAGAAGCTGGCCGTGCTCCACGAAGCCCAGAAGAGCCTGACAGAGGACATCAGCGTGAACTGTGCGCTGGGGGAAGAGGCCGAGCTGATGGTCAAGAGTATCTGCCGACCACACGAATTCGACAAGTACCGGATGTTCATTGGGGACCTGGACAAGGTGCTCAATTTGCTGCTGTCACTCTCGGGCCGGCTGGCCAGAGTGGAGAATGCCTTAAATAACCTGGATCCTGACATTAGTGAGGAAGAAATGGTAGGTGGCGCCACACGTGTGTTAGTTGATTGGTGGATCACTTTTCCAGGGGGTAATAATTTTTAAAAAATTTAATCCACAACTGTTTGTGGGACGCTGCTGTGCACCCAGCATTTCACCCACAACATATACAGTCACTACCTAATCTCGGCCCAAGGTGAGGGCGTTACAGAAGGGTTGAGCTCATGGCAACAGCTGTGCTTTCGACCCTCTGTTGGGTTGGAATCAGCATTGCGGCACGGTATTGAGCAGTGAGATCTGCCCTCACAAGAGGAAGTGGAGATACAAGGCACAACTCACTTGAGCACCTGATCACTAGGCTCAGGCCGACCTTGTCCTGCCATAGAAGCCATCCCTTCACCTGACCTGCTTGGGGGGGTCCACTGATATCCCCTCACTCCTCACATCCTTGTGCCTCTGCATTGAACACCAGCTCATAATGGGCAATTTCAACCTCCACCTAAACTCCCTTTGCTCTACCTCCTCGGATTTCACTGCCCTCCTCCCTAAGCCTCAGCCTCTGCATCAACTCACCGACCGACATCTCGGGTCACCCCGTCGACTTTGTCATCACACATGGCCTTGACATTTCCGACCTGTCCATCATGGACCACTTCTTCATCTCCCTCTCCTCCCGCATCCCCCTCCCCTCTTCCAAGCCCTCCATCATTTTTTNCCACCCCTGGACAAAGCTGCCCCTTGAGTCCCTCACAAATGCCCTCTCTTCCTTGGATCTCCTCTCCCTCTGGTCCTCCACCCACAGTGATCCTGATGCAGCCATCAAGCTGCTGAATGACCGTCTCTCTACAGCCTTTAGTTCCCTGGTTCCCCTAAAATCCAGGGCGTTTTCCAAACCCACCCGACCCCCCCGGTACAACAATCATCTCCGCTCATTCAAAACACAAACCTAGACCCTCGAGCGCAGATGGCAGTAAGCTGGCCTTATGATTCACCGCCATCTGTGGCTCGAGCACCTCCACACTTACCACCTCTCCTTTTCACAGGCCCAAACTGACTTTTAACCCAAAGTCTTCCAGGAGGCCAAAAACAACCCAAAGACAGTTTTCCACTGTCCATCGCCTCCTCTGTGCAGCCCCTCAAACTCCCTCTATCCTCACATCAAATGCCAAGTGCAAAGAGGTCCTCAAAGATTGAAAAATTCTGCTTGTCTGCATTGTCCTCCCCACCATGTCCCATTCCACCCCACCCAGACCATCTACTCCGCCTTCTCCCTCCACCACGGGTCCTGTCACTCCCCCCTCCTTACACTCCTTTGCCCTCACTTCTGCTCCTCCCTCTCAACCACAATCACCCAGGTGAAGTTCACCACCTGCTGCCTTGACCCCCTCCCCACCCAGCTGCTGGTCACTCAACTCCTCTTCCCCCTGCTGGCCGACATGGTCAACCAGTCTCTCTCCTCAGCCTCTGTTCCACTCCCCCTGAAAACCACTGTTATCACACCCTTCCTCACAAACAGCACGCTTGATCCCTCTAATCGCTCACACTACCATCCCAACTCCAACCTACCCTTCCTTGCCAAAGTCGTGGATCGCATTGTTTCAGGTCACCTTTGGTCACAACTCTCCCTCCACTCCCTTCCTCGAGCCCCTGCAGTCTGGTTTTCGCCCTGACTGCCCACAGCACAGAGACAGCGCTTGTTGAAGTCATAAACGACGTCTTCTCTATCTGTGACCAGGGCTCCCTCTGCCTCCTCATCCTCCTGGATCTCTCTGCCTCGTTCGACACAATCGACTATGGCATCCTCCTCCACTGCCTCTCCTCCCTCATCTAACTTAGTAGGACCGCACTCGCCTGGTTGCAGTCGTACGTAACCAACCGCCTCCATTTCATCTCGGCAAATGTTTCCCCTTCTGGCCCCACCTGGCCATCCTTGGCCCTCCTCTTTTCCTTATCTATATACTCCCTCTGGGCGATGGGGTAAACTTCCACATATATGCGACTGACACACAAATCTACTTTGCCTCCTCCAGTACTCCAGGTCCACCAATGTTCTATCAGCTTGGCTGGCAGACATCAAGGCCTGGATGAGTGTAAACTTCGTGCAGCTGAATATGGACAAGGTGGAAGCCATACTCCTTGGCTCCCATCAACGTCTTCAGTCCTGCGGATCTAAACTCCTCAACCTCCCTGGGCTCTCCCTCAGACTCATTGAACCAGTGCACAATCTAGGCATCCGGTTCGAGCCCCAGCTGTCCTGCCTCCCACACATCCGGTCCCTGGCCAGGACTGCCTTCGTCCACCTGCACCACATTGGCCACCTCCGATCGTACCTTACCCTAAATGCAGCCGAAACCCTCCCGCCTGGATTACTCAAACACATTCCTCGCCGGACTCCCCAGCTCCACTATTCACAATATCAGCTCATTCAGACTCTGCCGCCCGCATACTGACCCGGTCCAAACTCTGTACCCACATCTCATCAATTCTGGCCCAGGCTCCATTGGCTCCCCATCACCGAACGGATCGACTTCAAGATCCTCACACTCGTGTTCAAATCCACTCACTCCCTGGCACCTCCCGACCTCCCCGATCTCCTCACTCCCCAGTCCATCACCCAGCACCTCCACTTGACTGGCACCAGCCTCCTAATCCTTCCTCGCACCCTCCTCCCCACCATCAGAGGTCGTACTTTCAGCCACAGTGCCCTGAAACTCTGGAACAGTCTCCTCAATCCCTCCGCCTTGCCCCTCTCTCCACTTTTTCAAGTCCCGCCTGACATCCTTTTTGAATGTGCTTACCATCACCTCCCCGTCCCTTCTGGCTGGGAGTCAGGCTCCGCCACTGTTAAGCGCTCTGAGACGCTACCCTGAGAGGAGGGCGCTTTATAAGTGCGAGTTGTTGTGAAGACATGGTCCTTTGACAATTTGGGCCCAGAGAATTGAGGGGAGAGGGGCTTGTCAGTGGGGACAACCGGTCTAATTGGGCTAATGGGGGTGAGCAGCTACCCTTGAACACCAATAATAAAAAAATGGCTGCTATATCTGCCACCAAAACCAGTCAGTGCACAATACACATCATAATAATAATAATAATCCCTGCATTTGATACAGCGCCTTATCACGTCTTCAAGACGTCTCAAAGTGCTTCACATATTAAACTGTAAAGTGTTGTGACTGTATATTTTGTGGGCGAAACACGGCAGCCAATTGCACACAGCAGTGTCCCACAAACAGTCGTGGATTGAATGACCATTTTTTTTGGAGGGATTATTACCTCCGGAATGTGATCTGTCAAGTGATTGCGTACTATCAAAACAGCGATCACGTGCCATTTAGAGGTGATTTTGATGTAAAGGCCTTGGAGAGGGTACAGAGGAGATTCACCAGAATGATACAAGGGATGAGGGACTTTAGTTATGTGGAAAGACTAGAGAAACTGAGATTATTCTCCTAGGAGCAGAGAAGGTTGAGGGCAGATTTAATAGAGGTTTCAAAATTATAAGGGGTTTTGATAGAGTAAATCGGGAGAAACTGTTTCCACTGGCAGGTGGGTCGGTAACTAGGGGACTTAGATACAAGATATTTGGCAAAAGGTCCAGAGGGGAGACGAGGAGAAATATTTTTACACAGAGAGTTGTTACAGTCTGGAATGCCCTGCCTGAAAGGCTGGTGCAAACAGATTCAATAACAACCCTCAAAAGGGAATTAGACAGAGGAAAAATTTGCAACGATATGGGGAAAGAGCAGGGCAGTGGGACTGATTGGTAGCTCTTCCAAAGAGCCGGCACAGGCACAAGGGGCCGAATGGCCTCCTTCTGGTCTGTAATATTCTATTGTTCTATAAAGCTCCTATATCTTGCAGCGAGCGCTGACGGAGAAGAAGAACCTGCTGTTGTCACAGCTGCAGGAGGCCAGGGAGCTGAAGGATCATGTGGATCGGAGAGAGCAGGCCGTGCAGCAGATCCTGGCCCGGCACCTTTCCCCAGACCAGCTCCACGACTACACGCACTTCGTGAAGACCAAGTCAGCGTTGATCGTCGAGCAGCGGGAACTGCAGGACAAGATCAAACTGGGCAAAGAGCAGCTCAACTGCCTGCGAGAGAGCTTGCTCACCAGAGGGTGCTGGAGCAGCAGTCTGAGCTCACCCTGAAGTACCTCACTGGCTCAGTCACCCTGGCACAGCCCAACCTGGCACAGCCCTACCCCGCGGGCAATCAGCGCTCATCTCCCAGGGGCAGTAGTTCAGAAGCTACATTAGCTGCCCCTGGGCTAGAGAGGGAAAGTAGCTTGGATCCTTGCTACTAAATCATGGAGACTATCTTCCTCCCCGCAGCCCCTGCCTGAAGGTGTGTGGGCATTGGTGGGTGGGTCCTGGGGGAGGTGGAGGGGGCATCAGTGTCAGCTACAATCTCTCTTTCCCTTCCCCACCCAACCCCCGCCTGCCCACCATCATGGTCAAATCAACTGCTGATGAATATGGGTCCCCACAGGTGAAGAGGAGAAAATTGGCTTCAACTATAACTGCAAACTCGGCAACGATTTTCTTAAATGATCTCAATAACATATTTCATGAACAAAATATATATATATATATTCCTGCTTGGTACCTTTCCCAAATATATCTTTCTCCGTCCCCAGCTTTATGATAGACTGCTCCAGTGTTGATGCCAGTGTCTGAATCTGAGCAGGGTGAATGGCTGGGCAGGACGCTGACATCAATCAGTGGAACAGTTCACGCTGAAGGGAAGGGACTGGTGTGGAGAGGTCACCAGCTGATTTTGATGGAAGGCCTTTATGTGTCAGGTTTTTCCTCTGGGTTTTCACTGCACAGACTCTTCCCGGGAATCCTCTGCTCTCTTTGACCTGTCCCAGGGGCTAATTTGCACGATTTCTTACTGGGATTCCTTATTAAGTAATCCGAGTCCTGCAGATTTTGAGATTTCCTCCAGTTAACTGGTTGGAATACAATTTACTCCCAGAGCAGAGTTCCTGCCAGCCAAAACTCCCATTAACAAAAGCCAAAAAAAAATCCTGTCAATCAGACCTTGCTGTGAAAATGAGTATTTAATCGCTTGTGTTTCTCTCTTCCTCCTACCCTGTGACAGTGCTGTGATGACAGTTTCCTCCTCTGTCCTATATCTTGGCTTCTGAGCTCCCGCGGTTAAAGTTTCACCAGTTGTAACTGCCATAAGAGGACTTTGGCTTGCAAGCCACAAATGGTCCTGTGCATACATCGCTCGATGGCCAGACATTGTGGTGTTTGTGTGTGTTCTGTGGGAGGATTGTTGGCCTCTTCAAGAGCGGAAAGGTCTTGAAGATTTTTAAAACCAAGTGACCCACTGAACGTTTGTGCGTCAGAGAACATTTGTTCCGTCAGTGACAATCTCCTTGGTTTATTCTCCTCGATCGGTGTGATCTGAACAGGAGCATAGTTGATGCTCCAATTGGCTTTAGTGTTCCTGAGTTAGGGGGAAAGGGGGGAAGGGGTGAATGAGCCAAGGATGTCATTGATCACTGTCCAGAGCTGAGGGGACATCTGGTGAGGATAAGATCAGAACCATAAGAGGGGAGATGGACTGAAAACTCATCGCGGGAGAGTAAACAGTATAAAAATAGGTGAACTTGCAGATTAAACTCCGCATCCAAAAAATTCTACAAATCTTGGATTCAGGCTGTCAAGATGGAGCAAGAGATGGTGTAACTGTAGACTCCTTCAGTAACTGCGCCCGTGACATCTTGTGTCAAAATATTACCACTGGGTTGATGACTGCCTGGGCTGGATAGCCTGGCTCCTTTCTGACTGGGGGAGCTGGATTAGCGAAGTCTGAATTGGCAGATTAGACGCGGGGTGAGATTGAATACCAACCCTTCCCCCCCCCTCCTTCGAGAAACCTGTCTTGCTATCTGTATTGTAAGATATTGAGATGCCTTTGGCTAAAAAAAATCTTCATTTCCAATGATAGGAAAGATATAGTGAGATTTTCAGAAGGTTCCCCCAATCTGTATCTGTTCAGGTGAGCGTTAAAGCTCCCGCAGAACTACTGGAAAACAGGTGTCCTGGCTAACAATCCCCCTGACAGAACAGATCACTTCATGGCTGTTTGTGGGACATTGCTGTGTGCAAATCTGCTCCTATCTTAGCTACAAAAACAGTCACTACACTACAAAGCAGTAAAGTGCTTTTTGAGATGTTTTGATACTTTATAGAAGTGGAAATTCTTCCTTTCTTGCCTTGATTGATTATTGAGCGATTTACATTTTGCACAGAACAGAACTTTGTGTGACTGTGATTATTCGGGTGATGAGAAGTTTTTTTTTAATAGTAGATTACATTCCTACTATTGTTGAGCTCTGATTCAATGAGTGGAACTGACTGGTGATGTGTCAAAGGGAAGATTGCAAACCTGAGTCACCTCAGGGTGACTGCGAGCTGCTTTCTTATCTTGTCAAGAGTGTGAAGTGTCCTGTCTTCCTGTTAGGAGATTCCTGGACAGAGAGTGTTCATTTTCCAGCTGATGTGGACTTGCTATCAGCGCCACATCTCCATGATCTTCCTCGTCACCCTCTCCCTCTGTCTGGGCAGCACATCATCAATTCACTTTACGGTGTATCCTGTGAAGAGCTTTGAGACGTCTCAACGACGTGAAAAAACGCTATATCAAATGTAAGGATTATTATCATTATAATTGGGTGGATCATTATTCAGTGAGGGAGCACCTCAAAAGCACAGCAAAGTTTCCAAATAATATTATAACATACAAACCTCTCTCTCCCTCCCTCTTCTCTCTTTGTATTTCTTTTCTCTCTCACCCCTTCTGCCTTCTGAGTGAGACTGTGCAGCGTTTGTATGTTGCTCGATCACCAGTACATCAAGAGCGGATTGGCAGCCTCTGTAGATGTGTTGCTGTTTGGCTGTCCTCTCCATGTCTCTCTCCCTCTCCCTGCCATCCCTCTCCTGTACTGAGGTGCTGGCGGGTCTGGAGAGCGGTTTTACAATTGCCCACAGCACTTTCATTCATGTGTGAGCCCAGAGAAGCTCGTCCTGATATGACTCAATGTCCGTACACTTGTCCCTCAGTAGTGGCCACTGTACAGTGCTCGGGAACCGTAACCAGGGCTGATTTTATCTTTTCTTGTTGCTCAGGAAGACTGACTGAGACTCCACACCCTGCCCGGCTGAGAGCTTACTCTGTGTTGATTGTACCTGAAGCATGTGGGACATTCACCCACTGAGTCTTTGGGAAGAGAGGAATAGTCTGAGATCAGTGGGCTGGGCACATTGTGGGTCAATTCCTCACGTCACTCAGGGAGGGGGGGATGGGGCAGGGGGGGATGTTGCCTGCCACACAGTCTGGCTCAACACCCAGAAGTTAGTTGGTCTCAGCAGACAAAGCTCCAATTGGGTTAGGGAGGGAGAAATTCAGCCATAGTTCCTGCTCCCAGTCACTCTCCAGAGTTTTGAGCCATGCCCCCCACCACCACCGCCTCCTTATTGGGCATGACAGGGCTCACAATGGTGTCCCCACCCCCACATTGAAATATTCTACCGATACTCCCTGTCTGGGCCAAGGACTTTAATTCCACCCAGTCTTAGCCTGCTGGACCATAAGTGGCTCAGAACAACGGCAATCCCCAATTTCTGCTGTGCTTTAGCTATCAGGTTTCCCACAATTCTCAACAAAGAAACCAAAGTGGTAATCTCCGAATCAGGACAGACCTGACCAATTTCCCACAAGTCTGCGCTGTCTTCATCAGGATTTTAGGACAAACCGGCCTCGCACGCTGAAGGACAGGGTATGGGTCTCGGGATCGGGCAGGTTGATGGTCACCAGAGCTGAAGGAAATCGAGCTAATTGTATTTCAAAGTGTCTCCCGGGTAACAAGGGCTAGACACTGACCTAACCTTTACAACTGGTTATAATAATAATCCTTGCATTTGATATAACGCCTTATCACGTCTTCTCGACGTCACAAAACGCTTCACAGAATATACTGTAAAGTGAATTGACTGTATATTTGTGGGCGAAACACAGCAGCCAATTGTTATAGCCTCTGAAGAGAATTTGCCTCAGCATAGTATGAGAATACAAAATGAAGCACTCAAATTAAAAATACTGCATATTTTTCATTTACAGATAGTCACTACACTTTACAGTAATTTCTGTGAAGCGCTTTGAGAAGTCCTCCTGACGTGAAAGGCACTGTATCAAATGCAAGGATTATTGTTGCTGTTTATATAATCTTGAAATGGAGCCAAAGTAAATAACAGCAATAACCTGCCCTCGGGTGCACTGCCTTGCGTTTTGGAATCTTTTTTTTGCAATTGAAAGTATATAAAACTGTGAATAATTTATTTTTATATTGTACATAGTAGAAGCCAGTTTGAGCAATTTACGGTTTTCAAATCTGTTTTTAACACCAACTATTTTCTCTCTCTCAGTCTCTCCTAGTTCCTTGATTTTAAAAATAATGTAGATTTTTGACCATTTGCTATACACTAAATAAGGTCATTTTCCTCTCTCTCTGTCTCTCTAACATTGTGCTTCCAGTTGAGATGCATTCCGATAAATTGCAAATTGCCTGTCTTCTGTGGGATCAAATATGCTGAGTATTGCCATCCTGTTATCTTAAGTGCCTTATTAAATGATTGTAGCCGGCATATATCTTGTGTGAGAGTGAAATCCTATTTAATCTCCTACTTCTTAAATGCTTGGCACTAATTCAGTAAGTGCATCTCAATCAAACTCTCAGTGCTACAGAGGCCACAAATTCCTCACAATCTTATCCATAGCAGCATTTTGTCCTCAAATTGAAGGTTGTGTAGTCTTTAGTTGAAACCAGCATTGCTTCTGAATTGAGATAAAGGGAAGATTCTAAAATTCCGCACAATTCTTACATTTTAAGATGATGCTCTTATGACTAAGATTGTGAGGAATTACATGCCTGATGGGCATAACGAGGTTTGTCTATTTAGTAGTGATGGCCAACCTGTGGCCCGCGGGCCGGTAGTGGCCCTCTGAACCTCCATACGAGTCCGTGTTGGATCAGTGTGTCAGTGTGTTTTCACTTTTTCATTGATTTATGGCATAAACCGAGAAATATTCAATAAGAAAATATGTCTAAAGGTTGGCCAGTGGTTTCATGCTTTAATTCTATGCCGTGGGTTTTTCTATCGCCAGCTGTCAATCATTCTAACAGTTTGCT